AAGAAGTCACGTCTGACGTCAACCCTGAAGCATAGGTAGACTCGGCCCGGGAGAGAACTAAGAGGCCGTGGGCAGCGGCGAGGGTGAGCAGGGGCCAGGAGGACCAAGGGGCTAAGTGAGTGGGCACTCGGGGGCCAGGAGGGCAGGAAGGCCCAGCAAGGAAGGATGTCAGGAGCCAGCCTAGGGGCAGGAGGACAGCCAGGTCCCGGGGGCTGGGCCCTGTGCCCGCTACCACCTGCGCCCACCTCCAAGGGAAAGAGAAGCTGGCCCTGCACTCTCTGCCTCTCATGTGAGAGCTTGACCCAGTCTGGTGCCCGGTGCCCTACAGATCGCTGGCCTCCCCAATGACACACTGTCAGTGGAGAACGGGGTCATCAACCAGTTCTCCCAGCGCTGGACCCACTTCATCGACCCTCAGGGCCAGGCCAACAAATGGATCAAGAACATGGTGAGCCCACCTGCCTGGTGCCGCTGCCTGACCCTGCACGGCTGAGCCTCAGGCTGGCTTTCAGCCCCCAGGGCCTCCACTCATCCCCTGTGCCCACAGGAGAAGGACAGTGGGCTGGATGTGTTCAAGCTGAGTGACCGAGACTTCCTGCGCAGCATGGAGAATGCCATCCGCTTTGGAAAGCCTTGCCTTCTGGAGAATGTGGGCGAGGAGCTGGACCCGGCCCTGGAGCCCGTGCTGCTCAAGCAGGTGGGCCCCCTGCAGAGGCTGGGGGGCTGGGAGTGGCCTGCGGCCTGGATAGGGGGGAGGACAGTGCCTCCCCCTGCTGCACTGGCAAAGCCCAGGCCACAGCCGTGCCCCCCCGCCATCTGCCACAGACGTACAAGCAGCAGGGGAGCACGATGCTAAAGCTGGGGGACACGGCCATCCCTTACCACGAGGACTTCAGGATGTACATCACCACCAAACTGCCCAACCCACACTACACACCCGAGGTCGCCACCAAACTCACCCTCATCAACTTCACCCTGTCGCCCAGGTACGCCCCCAGTCTCTGGGCGTGTCCGGCGGCACCTCTCCCACCTCCAGGCTGGGGCTCACTGGGTCTTCCCCACTCAGAGCCTCAGCCAGCTTCTTCCTGGGTGCTCCAGCCCCCCCCCCGGCCATCTCTAGCCCCTCCACCCACTCCCTTCGCTTGCCACTATTTCCACATAAGAACACCGTCTCAACTTGTCCTGATCCTTGGCCGGGACACCCTGGCCTCCCTGGGCACTAGCCGTACCTTATCTAGGCCCCCTCCCACAGATGACCCCAGACTGCCCTGGAGCCCTGAGTGTGGGACACACTCTGGCTCCTGCACCCAAGTCCTGTCCCTGCCCTTGCTGCCAGGAGCCCAGCCCAGTGGCTTTTGCTAGGCACCCACAGGCCCCACAGGCCTGCTTTGTGCTAAGGCCTCCACGCTGGTGGCCACCAC